TGGGAAGGTGAAGGAGCTCTACCCAGACGTAATAAAACTTTGGAAGGACTTTAAGTCCTGAAGATTCTGACCATTTGGAGAAGACTCCCCCAAAATTTCCCATGTCGAAGAAGGGTTTGGAGCATGCGTGGTCCAGGGACTCCGCATCAGGGAACTGAATGAAGTAGGAAGCGGCTGCCGTTTGCCTTATCACCTTGGGCCATTTTTCTACCTTAAAATGGAGCTCTAGGTTCTCTACCAACTCGGCATATGAAGGGTTACCAACTTAGATCTGGAAATGTGCATAGCTCGCGAACTCCTCCAAGCTGGAGATAACAGAGGGGGGAAGAGAGATCTTTGGGAGAAAAAGGGGCGGTGGGGAAGAGGGTAAGATAGCTGAGGGGATGCTGAGCAAAGAGGGTTGCTTTCTGTTGGGGCAGCTAACTGAGGTGTGACCAATGAGGTTGCATGCAAAGCATTTGAAGTCTCCCAGAGAGCAGTTCTTAGCCATATGATTGGGATAGCCACAAAGGTAGCACCTTTGGAGATTTTTGGAGGTATGAAGCTTGGATGAAGAGGCTACAGATCTGGGCCTTTTGGGTCTCTTCCTGTAGGATACTGTAGTCCAACCTAGATCTGGGTTAGGGAGAAGGCCTTTGGAGGTAGAAGGAGGTACTATAGGTGTTTGAGCTGCCTTAGGGCCCTTGAGAATATCGGCGAACGAGGGTTTGGAGGAAGGCGCCGGGTTTTGAGAAGGGTGAAAAGCTAAGACGGTGGTGAAGAAGAGGGTTTGGGACGGTGGGGGAGGGGCGTCGGTTGGGCAATGTGACGGGCAGCAGAGGTAGTGGGTGGAACTAAAGGCTGGGGGAGGAGAGATTGTGATCTTACCATCATGAATGGAGACTTGACGTCACCTAGGGTTCCGAACCGCCGCCTGGTTGCCGAATCGCCTCTGGAACCTCCTGTTCCCCTGCTCCATGCAAATTATGAAATGTTAACTCACTTTAACTCTTGTATAGATTTTTTATGTTTGACGGGTTAAGAAGGGGTTAAGTCTCCTTAACCCCTCACTTAACCCTTTGCCAAACTGGTACCTTAAGCTATTGAGATTTGTCACAAATCCACATCTTTTGCGTGGACCCCACAACGTGATAGCTCTTGAGATTATAGTAATAATTGGTGATTAGATCGCTCACCATAATCTTAAATATTAGCAGAAAAAGAAATTAAAGCTTTTGAAATTTGTCTCAAACCTACATCTTTTGCGTGGACCCCCACAACGTGACAGGGAGAGTACATCCAATTATATGTCCGTATCTCAAAACGTCTAGTAAAAAAACTAATGCATGTTTTTTGTAGTAATTAAATTATTAAAATCAAGTTTCACATTTTAGAAGCCGGAACATGTTTTGTTTTTTGATTAAGCAAGGTGATAGAGTCCCCCATAGACTTTGCTTAGTCTTTAAACAATATAGGGATGACCATGTTTTTAGGTCAGAATCATGTTACACTATGAAACATATCCATTGATACACTACACGTGATTAAAGCCAAAAGGATTAGTATCAAATAATTAAATAGGGAGAGTTTGAAAAAGTCTCTACCAACTTTCATCATGAATATTTCCCTTGATTCTCTTTGATCCCTGATTATTAATACAAAATAAATAGAAAAAATGAAGGTTACACAATAACATCTACATCCTAAAGAATTACAAAGAAGTAGTTAAGTCCTTAAAATTGTTATTAACTGTTACATATATGACAAAGTGTATGGTGGTTTATTTGGAGGAACATTGCACATTCAATCCTCAAAACAAATTTGAGCAACATTCATCACAAAATCCATTAATCATGATAATCATTAATATTTTACAAAAAAAAAAAATTATAGTCTGCCTATTTGATACTATATATCTAGTAAAGAGCTTGCATTTTTCATTATAATCATTAGCTTCCATACAAAAAGCTGCAATTTCTCTCAAACTAAGAAATGCACTGTCCACTAGTTTTTATTTTCTGAATGAGAGAATTATTTAGAATAAAATTTTAGGGGCTTGTTGAAAATTAAAAGAAAGTTGGGTGTGTTCTCACACTTTTTCCAAATTAATTGATAGGTCAAATTAATTAAGACATTAAGGAAACAATTAATGTTGCGACATGTCAGGTCAAAATGGGACGTTAGGCAAAAGAACACGCCTTGCCTAGCAGATCCCCAACATTTGTACTTTAGATTTGGAAGCCTAATCATTGATTAGAAAATGTTAAGACCTTTATAATTTTCTAATTTGAACCTTTGACTTTTAATTAACCTCCTAATAATTGATTAGAGTAAGTTAATGACACGCGGAGCTGAAAACAAACCAAATGAGAGAACAATGTGAAGCAGTTAATGGTTCCCTCAATAAGGTGAGACACAAATGATGTCCTCGCCTTGCGAAGCTGATTTATCCTATGTTTGGGGGGAAAGAAATGAAAGATAAGATAGGGGAAGAAAAGGTAAAGAAAGTAAAGGAAAATATAATATCTTGTTCGGGAAATTTGTAATGAGAATGGAGGAGATCGAATTTATTTACATTGCTTGGGAGTTTTAATAAAGAAAATGGAATGAAATAAAAAGGGTGTTGAAATTAAATCTTAGTCCTTGATATATTATGATAAGAGGTAAATTTGTCTTTATATGTTAAAAGTTCTATAATTAATTCCCTTCCCCTCTTCTATCCCCCAATTTGGAGTGGAACAAAATTAGATGTGAAAACTGTAATATAGTTAGTATTATGCGGGTGTGAGTACGTACGTAAATGAGACATTGGTATGCTTTTTCCATGGTGGTGGCTGATGTGTGGCTAATGCGATACATATTCAAGGTATCAGTTATGATCTCAATGTGCTAAAGATTGGAGCTATAGAATCTAAATGTGAGCTACATCAGCAATATAGCAATATATATCAGTCAATAATGTGAAGAGATACGCAATCCTCTTTTTACTCTCTCTCTCTCTCTCTCTCTCTCTCTCTCTCCCTCTACATATATCCCAGTAGAAGGGCGCTGTTTTAAGAGGATAAGGGAAGAAGACAGCGCATCTATACTGGTTGGTCCAAACCCACTCATGATAAACTCAATCCTCACGCTCACACGTCGATCTCATAACATACCAAATCTTGATGGCGTATTAACTATTACCACAAAATATTTGATTAAAAAGACATGAAGGGACCCCGGCGGTGTCTTATCCTCGTCAAACTCTGCCAACCTTAGCTGTTTCCTTCTCATGGCTCCTAAACTCC